ATTTGTCTGCGGGTGGTAACCATACTGAGGACGAGTCAGTCTTAAACCCCAGTCTCCTACAGAAGGCCCACCAGAATTTGGAAACAAACTGGAGATCTCCGGAGGCCGGTAATAGAGTCCATATATATAGATTCCCAAGTTCGCAGTTGGAGATGAAGACTTTTATAGTATGTCTGCCTGTAAGGACGGCTACCAGAACTTACGCTGGAGGAGTTCCACTGTCCGTTTCACTTAAGGGTATCCGGTCACCCGAGATGAGTGCCCCCATTGTTAAGACCTCTGCCCTGGCCTGAGGATTATTGTTTAACCAGCAGAGTTTCTGGAGGGGGCGTTTGTCTTGGAGTGCCTCATAGATTGTCTTCTCTATGTCTAGTAGGATCACTCTGATCACCTTTTCTGCTGGGATGATCATTGTCTGTTGCTCTGGAAGGTGATATTGAAGGTATAGTCTGGACAGGGTGTTGGCTTTCCCATTCTTGCTGCCTGGCCTGTAAGAGATGGTAAAATCAAACCGGGAGAAGAAGAGCGCCCAACGCGCCTGTCGTGGACTTAGTCATTTGGCTTGCCGGATGTATTCCAGATTCTTGTGATCTGTAAAAACAAGAAAGGGATATTTTGCACCTTCCAACACATGCCTCCACTCTTCCAGTGCCAATTTAATGACTAGGAGCTCCCTGTTGCCGACATCATAATTTTGCTCCGCTGGGGTGAGCTTCCTGGAGAAAAAGGCTGAGGGGTGAAGTTTTGGAGGATAACCAATTCGCTGGGACAAGACTGCACCTACCCCCACTTCAGACACGTCGACTTCCACACTTTGTTTACAGCCCGGCGCTAACAGGATGTTGCTCAAGTTATCATCTGATACAACTTTGATGTCAGAATTGAAACAACCGTCACTGTTGGATTTCTGGATCCAAAGAGTGAATACCCTGCCCTCTCATTAAAGGCTATGTGGTTTTTGATGCCTTTTGCTGCTACCTACTGTACCTTTGTGAGAAAGGCTTCTCTGCTCTCACTGCAATCAAGACAAAGCACCGCAACAAAATGGATGCTGAGCCAGTTCTGCGTCTGAAGCTCATTGCCCCCATCCCTGACATTGCAAGGCTTTGCTCAACTAAATAGGCTCACCCCTCTCACTGAAATAGTAAGTGCTCAGTGCTATTTTTATTATAAGTGTGCACACGTGTTCATGTTGGTCATTGA